AAGTAGAAGATTATTTCGAAGGAGAGCATATTTGGAGGCAAAAAGAGGAAGCTTAGACGGGGAGGGAAGAGGGCTGCAATGGGGGGAGGGGTACTGAGTAGCATAAGGCCGATTTACTGAAGTGAGAACGTTCATTCGTGCGACACATGGGATAGAATTTACGCGAGTTTTCGAGTTTTCTTACCTACGGCAATTTAATCATCACTAATCGATTTCTCTCATTTCAGGAGATCCTGGATCCAGGAGGAGAAACTAGTCTCAGAGGAATACTTGCTGAACATTTTTCAAACTTACTGCTCCAGACGTCTTCATTAGACCTAAGAGGGGACACCAATGTTCTAGGATGGGAAGAATAAACATGCTGTACAGTTTTGACTTTATTTCAGGAAGAAAGCTATCATGTGATTTAAAACTGCATATCTATGCACCCTCTGCAGAAATTCCATCTGCATTAGGCGACAATGCTAGGATTTTCAGAAACATAGGACCAAGTTCCTTATGATGGATTGCTCTAAAAGTAGACAATTTGGAAGGACCAGAGGTTCAGGAAACTTGGCGGGGACAAAACTCATTAAACTACCCTGGCTCTATCTGTCATCTTTCAATGGTCTTTTGAAGAACGCGACCTCAAGGAAGAATATAAATTAGCATTCGTCACCCCGATCTATAAGGGAGGTTCACAACTGGATGACGCAAATTACAGTCCTTTTAGTCTAACTTGCACTGCGTTTAATGGGATTCCTGGAAAGCAACAAAATATTATGCGATGTACAACACGGCATTCGTCCAGTACGTTCGTGCCTCAGGAGTGCTTATCGCAGGGGGTTAATTAAGTTAAACCCTAGAAACTGCGATCGTCAGACCATGGTTACTTATTAGTGGATAAGTCAGTTGAGGCCAGAATAGAAGGGATAGTTTATTGTGTACAAAAAAGAACGGAGAATAGATGGAAAGAAGTTGGACTTCGGAGCACAAGTCATTCCGCTGGAGTGCCGTGGTCCTAAGTGACGTCTGGCGGCCAGGGGTGGGGAAAAAGGGGACATTTTTGAGTGGTGCTTGGGCAGCCGCGAGAACCTAGACGCATATGTGTGTCCGAGTGGAAGTAAGTCAAGTCTCTGCAGGTCAGCGCGTCTGTAAGCGTTAAATGAAGTATTGGATGACCTTGAGGCAGCTGGCCTTGAACAATGACTCCGGACAAAGTAATGCAGGGCGTCGGATGGCCGAGAACGCTACATGCTCTTTACTCCCATGAGAATTGGATAAAGGTCGCAGATAAGGGCTATTCAATAGACGTTATAGTTTTCGACTTCAAGAAGGTCTGCGATAATGTACTACGCAGGCTTCTTACAGAAGATTTAGGACGTCAAAATGCAAGGAAAATGTTCACATGCGTCAGCGGTTTCTTGTCTCTCAGAGAACAGAGGGTCGTTATTGAAAAATGGACGAAAGTAGAAAGTGGTGTACAACAAGGCTCAGTTTTAGGCCCTCTACTCCTCCTTATCTACCTAAACGACTGCTTCAATGACCTTCATTGCGCAGCTGTCATGTTTGCGGATAACATAAATACATGGACTGAAATTAGCCGCTCTGATTACGCAAAGAGGTTAAAATCGAACATCGATAAACTGATTATTGGATATTCCACGTGGCTTCTTAGCTTCAGTGTATCCAAGTGTCCTGTCTTTCGCATAAGCTCCGGTCAGAAGGTGTTACAGAAACAGTTATTTTTATAAATCACGCCGCATTAATAGAGGTAGGTTCGCACAAAGACCTAGGAATGTGGACAACCACGAACTTGATGCCAACAGAGCACTCTAAAAAGACAGTCCAGAAGGCAACTAGTACGCTGCACTGGATCAGACGAGCGTACAAAATCTTCCCATCCGAACTCTTTGGAAAGATATTTGACGCCTCTGTGAAACCACATCTTGACTATGGAAGGCCAGTTTGAACACCGTGGTTGCAAAAAAGTGTGGACCTTCTCGAAAAAGTGCAACAGAGAGCGACAAAAATGGTTAATGGCCTTGGGGGAATTACCATATCAGGAGAGATTAATTAAGCTATTACAGGGTAGCCTGCTCCGAACATTTATGATAATACGGGGCCAAGTTTCCTCACCAAGATTGGGAGATTTCTTCGGATTAGCCAAACAACTACGCTAAATATACTGAACTCACTCACCTGTGTGGCCATCCTCACAAGGTCACAAACGAACACACTCGATTGAACCTTAGCAAGATTTTATTCGGGCAACGAGTGGTAGGACCTTGGAACTGGCTACAAAGCGAAATGGTTTCTACCAACACCATTGCCTATTTTAAAAGAAGACTTGATGGCATTTTATTTGAAAAAGAGACCATCACAATACGATTTCTTAATGTCAGCATTGGGAATCATTTTCCTGGCTCCAGTCTGTTTTCATATTGTTTTGCACTGCTCCGCGACAACTCACTCGAACGTGTGTTACTTTACCACATTTGGAATTTGGAATTTATATTTGTTAGCGCCAGAACGGCGCCCTTCATAAAAGATTAAGTTCGTAAAAAAATCAAAAAAATTAAAAAAGGAATTTGGCAATGTGCGCAGATAGACCTAGAAAGTCGTAATAGAATCAGCAGAAATGGTCGTTTTGGGGCAACATTTAGCAATGTTTTGTTGTTATTTGCGAACTTAAAAACTTAAAATTGAAGGCAGTTAAGAAAAACTCTTACAGTGAAAATGGAGGCAAAGTTCAACGGGCCTCCATTTTAAAAAAGCGTGTAAGAGAAAAAAAACTGCGTAGGAAGATAAGACAGAATTGTAAAAATAAGGTTTATTTGTAAAGCACATCTTCGGTGCCGTCAAAAAATAGGTGTAGGAAGTCTGATGATGGTTAGTAGCCGACGAACCGGCAGCAGTTTAGACTGAGGGCGTCCACGTGGCTTCGTTTTATTGAGCGGTGGTTAATAGAAACATCTAGGTTCCCGGGGGACACGAGGCAGGGAAAATAGTTTCAAGAGGATCTCCTAAATTCCGTTGGTCCTTTTTCGGAGTCATGGCGAAAGCTTCTCGGAAAAGATTGGTACGACTTCATATAGACTGTAACAGTGATATCGTTACTTTAAATCCATAGGGTTCACAAGGACATTCCTTGCCTTTAACCTCTCAAATATGCATATAAATTGCAATATACACTTTCGCGGAGCAGATACCATCTGCAAAAATTGAGCTCCAACGCGAGAGTCTTAGCAAGTCTGCGTTGGTTCTATCGACGCAAATAATAGCCGTGTCCTAAGAAAATAAGTAAATGCACTTCAGCTCATCAAGATAAATGAAATTTTGTGAATTTGAAGTTCTTTTGAAAATTAATTTACATGATGGATGAAAATGACAAAGCCCAAGACAATGCCTCGAAAAAAACCCCCCGTGATCAGACGAGGACTTGAGTAGCTAGTACCTCCTGAAATCTTTTGGCTACGGTGATATAAATACGAAACAATGTAGTGAAGGAGAGAAGATCGGATGCCAAGGGTGGCCTGTTTCACTAGAAGGCGTCTGTGCAGACGTCAATGCAGATCAAAACTACTGCCTGCTGCTCATTATGAAGGTAAGAAACACGTTTAAGAAATGCTATACGGCAATTTTCACACGAAATTACAGGTAAATAACCATGTTAAGTAATCCTCAAGAAGTAACTATCCCGGTAGGAATATCAAAGAACATTAAAAAAATTATTCAAGAAGTTTTGTTAGAGCTCGAGTTTTATGAAGACCTAGATATTAACTTAAATCGAAGCGAGGTCTTGACTTGAATACACGGAAGACTGTTTTCGAGAAGTTACGAAAACCGTTTAAAACCTGAATTAAAAATAATAAGCTAAGCAATTTGAGAAAGTTCGTCACATTCTCGATTGTTGTGTTAAGATTACGCCAGTTCCTACAGAATGCCAGTTCTTTAGATGAACTATGTGCATAGGAGTTATTGACTGAGTATGGCTGAAACGACGGAACTGGTTCAGATTCCGCCCTAGGATATTTTGCAAGGAATGCACTAAACAGTTCAGCTTTGTTAGTATCTTCCAGAACTAAGCTTTCCTCTTCATTGAGTAATGGAGGAATTTCGTGAACATTTTTAGAGAATGATCGTCGCATGAAAAGTATATATCAGTTTCGTTAAGTTATGGCTGCCGGCATTAAACCGGTTTGCAGTTTATTTTGCATTTTTTCTTACAGGAAACATATTTTGTTACTTGTTATATTTTAGAGTTACGGAAATTTCCATCAGAGTATTCAGAAGTCTAGTTTGGCGAATATACGTGTACATTCGACAAATTCTCGTCAGGCCTGGAAACTGGAAACTGGGTGCAAATTCAAACGTGTTCGTCTTTTCGGACCGGTGAGTCGTGGGAATGGGAGTGGGGTCGATAAGCGAAGGCTGGTTGTGAGGGTAAGGTTTGATGGAACAGCCTAGGGGAGGGGAAGGAAGACGGGGGGAGGGGGATGAACAGAGCGTGGATGACTGCATGCGGCTAAGTGACTGTGCGCCATGCCAACTGTGGGGCTTGTAGGAAGTGCTTTTGTGCACACAGCGTGGGCTTCATCAGCCTGATAGCGGTCGCTTCTGCTATTGCTAGCAGCCGCTAACCAAGAGACTTTGGATAATTTGGTGGAATCCTGTAGATCACTCGGAAAGCGTCGTTGGCGTCCACCCGATATATTTTGCTTGTATAAAGCGATCCTTGTTGTCTGTATATGTACATTGGTTGCATCCCACGCTTTGGTTTAGGCGGTTAGGCGTAGATACCCTAAAAATACCTTGGCTCGAGTTTAATTAAATTGCCTATCATACATTCTAAGGCATATAGCGTTTAACTTTCTCTTTCCCTTTTTACAATCTTCGTGGGGTTACAAATTTTCGTTCCTATTTCTGTGTGAAAAAATGGCCACCTCTTAGGCTATTGAAGTAACTTGATATGACCCACGTGGTGTAAATCTTGAAGCATTTCTCATCTCGCCATCGCAATGAGTCAACAACTATCTGATACTCAGTTCCCATCCTGGTGGGACATTCATACACACCGTGCTAATCCCTTATGTCGAATGGCTGTCCTTCGTAGCGCTTACGGAAATGGACGCTCCATGGTCGCTGATTGGGGTCGCACGGGTTCTTGCCAGATAATCAACGAGAAGGAGAATTTGGAGGTATTCAATGATAAATGCTTTCCTGAGACGTTTTTTATATGTTGCGCTTTTTACATAAGGTTATCCTTCAGATAAAAATACATCTTGCTTTTTTTGTTAAGTTAACTCTACCACTGTGACCCACGGCCTTATTATCACAGTACACGCTTGTTTACGCCAATCATATCGGATGAACTGAAAGTCAATTTAATTTTGGAAAGCCATTGGGCGAAGTATAAAAATCATTTTCAAATGCGCGTAGGAAATTTTTTTTCGATATCAACATTTTTTGCTCCTCCATCGAAAGCTTTCCACTGCAATAAACAACCCTCAGAAAACTAATTTCTTTCTACATCGTCATTATCAAAATGTTAACGTTTTGGTTCGGATATTTCTACCTGTCCTCTTGTCAATCCTTAAGGTATATGAGCAGATCTCCGCCAATTTGGCCGGCGGACTGCACTTTACCGGCTGTCCGAGACCCCTCCTACAAGCCCACTATCACCTTTCGGAATGGTCGCAAGCTAGGCTAGACGAATGGCTGCTGTCATCTTCTGCTGCCCACGCCACCGCCCGTGACTTCGGTATTGCACAACTGCTCGACGATGCGGTCTTTGGCAGACAAGCCTGTGCTGCATTCCTTGCCGCTAAATTTTTTGGTACCGTGCGCAAAAATATACCGGCACTTCTGCCGCCGCAACGCGTAACTAGACGGAA